AATTTGCAAGTACTTTTCATCGTAAGGGTGAACATATTAGGTAACGGTTGACATCATACCGTAAAAAAACACAAGTTTGCGAGTGGTGAAATATGATCTATGAAAAAATTAGCTTAGTAACAATTAATTACCTTTTTACTCCCTGATTATGACCCTTCGGCTTCCTTTAATGGCCAAAACTGCAAGCATACACTACACACTGATAGAAGATTTCCGGCTTTTTAATGTTAAGCTTGCTTTAACGCACGATGTAATGAGTACAACCCCTCTATTACTGCTAAATGGCATATTTTTCATAAGAAACCCTCTGCAATAGAATGTTAGCACGAACATGCGGACAGTTAGTCACAGGCGGCAGCAACAATTATTTTAGCTAAAAAACGAGCTTCGGCTTTGGATATCTAGAAAACAAGTCAAAACAAAACCCATAACCATTTTAAAACATAAGATGAGCCAGCTTGGCTTAAGAAATACATTGACTTCAGTAGCAGCGGCCAAAACCCAGAAAACAAAGCAAAATGAGGGAAGATTTTGCTCTAACACTTAGAGTATTACATTAACTTCTGGATTGTAACACACTGAAACATTAAATTCTGTAGCTACACAAAAGAAATAGCGGAAAAAGCACAGAACGAAGAAAACCGGCCGCCATTGCATACCAAGATGGCGGATATAATAATTCCCGCTTCATTCTGATTGGTCGCTAAGCAGACTGTCACGTTTACGAAATTCAGTTGCGTTTAATAGCAGCCCTCGAAACGTTGTTCCGAAAACATGACGATTATACACTTGACCGATTTCGAATATCTCTGAATGAATAGACTCCAAAAGAGTGAATAAAATTGTAGGCTGAACTTGAATGGTTTTTCAACCGTTATGTCGTCTTTCATTTGTGCCTGTAGTGGTTAACAAATCTCCAGGATAAATAACTTTGTAAGTCTCCATTGTCGGTCCTGACATAATTGGTTCCACTGTATACACCACAAAATGAAAGTGGTCGACCGAGCACCTGATTCGGATCACATTTGAGTACAGCATGATTCTCAGCACGTATGAGAGCTAATCAGATTCAATATGGCTTCGACATATCGTCCGTTAACCAAATAAACCTACCCACTACTTCGTTTTCGATTATCGGTTTCATTTCCCTTGGACATTTGTATATGGAGAAGTTCCCGACAGTGATGAAATCGAACCCCGAGTATCCGAGACGTCTTTACCCTCGAATCTTTGGCCAATTTCAGGTTTTCCAAAATTAGAAAAGTCTGGTCGAAATATGACATAGATATTTAAGAGTTGATGACGCTATTGTCCTCAACAACTTTGCAATAGAGCATCTCAAAAACAGCCAAGTCAGGAATTAGTCATTTCGAAGATGTGTTTGGAAGATAGTCGATGGGTTGAGAAGTATGTGAGCTTAGCTGACTAGTTGTTGTGTGGGGTATGAAACACAACGTACCCAATAGTGATTTGATGATGATGCTTGATCGCGTGATTTCAGCTATAATGTGTCGGGTAAACCTGATGGAGTCAGTAACAATGTTGAGAACGTGCAACAATTTAGTTTGGCCATAAATGTCTCAATAATGTCTAAATATTATAGCTCAATTAGTCATTTACTTCTATATTTAGTACAGGCATTATATGTCCATTTATTTCATGTTGTATGTTGGGCAGCGTTTTGTGTTTTTAAAATAAAACTTCGTGCCCCAACTGTTCTGTTCCGCGATCTAAATAAATACATGTTTGTTACTTGTATGGTTTATTTTATCACCAGAACAAGGGGTATCCACCTGTGCGAAATCGGCGGAGACAATCATTAATTCCTGCTTTGCTTAGTTTTTTCGTGGTCGTAAACGTTAACTTCTGCTTATACTTACCACAAACTTCGTACACATATAATAGTATATTTCTGCAAGTACACGCCATCTTTACGGGCACGATCTATAACTTGAGACATAAGTTAGCTTGCAGTAGGGTCGTCAAATAGACAAAATCAATAAAAGTGAATAACAATGCATTCACGCAGATGTCTGGGAGCGTTAATGATTTGGTATGCTTTGGTATTACACCGAGTATAGCCTTTAAAATGTTTTCCAAAGTTGCATCGCTTATATGTTACACACCAGATCCAATATCGGTATAATTATTTCGGAATTCTGGTAGTGTTAAGTGTTTATGCGATACAACTTTTTGAGTTTATAGTTGTTATAAAGTATATTTGTATAGCGCTTTGTGTGAACTATGACTTCAAGTTATGTAAGCCAAACATTTATGTAGAACCGAACATTTATCACTTATAATTGTACATTCCCTTTAGTATCTGATTTTCTTATACAAACAGTAGAGCAGCTCCTCAGGTTTGACAAACTTTAATTATTTTTTGTTCGAAGTATATTGTTCTTTGTTTATGGCTCGAAAGATACTTAAGAGGTAAGTGAGTAAACACCTGATAGCCGGATAGAACACAAGGAAATCATACCTCACCAAAATGATGTTGGGTAGCCCACCCGTGGCATTTTCTCTGATATTCTTGTTTCATTTTGCTACCCTCCATTCTCTTACAAGCTGTGATCCTCACTTAGAGGACACGTTTTACAAGTTATGGGCAACGATTTGTGGAAAAAACTTAGTGCTACGAGATAAGATAAGGAGATAGTAAGGTAGGTGACATCTGTGGAGTATCTTCGAGTATTGACTGGACAGTCACTTATTGACAGTCGAACATCGAACGAGGTAGTTATACACCTTTAGGCTGCGGGAAGCAAACTGAGATGCTCTTGTTCAGTAAGCTGATCGAACCTTCATTCCTGCGGAAGTTGATTACAGAGGGAAGCTGATGAAGGGACTTGAGTTGATTGGTTAAAGGTTGATCACAAACATCTCAGTCATGTCACAAAATCATAGCTCAAGTAGTCATTTACTTCTTCATTTTGTGTAGGCATTATTTTTCCTATTACTTTATATTAAGTGTTAATAAACGTTTTGTGCTTCCAAAAGACAACATCGTTCCCCAGCTTTTCTGTTCCACGATCTAAATAAGTACCTATTCACAACCAGTCTCTTTCTTATTGATAAAACACGCGGTATCTATCGGCATGAAAGATTTACAGATTTATTTGTTTCGGGGATTTACTTACTATTACGGCTCACTCTACATCTTGTGGGGCATTGATGACCAGCCAGAAGTTTAAGCCAAGTGAAATCATCACTGATAAACACTCTACTAATAACTTGTTACCTTCAGTAGGTCACTCGAATCCGTGTAGATAGTTATGTGAGTTAGTGCCTTCAGCAATACGCTTATTGATTTTCAGATACGGAACACTTGTTCATAAACCATTTTTTTAATGTTTGGCGTGTTATCGTATGCCAGAGAAACATCTGAGTTTATAATATAAGCTGTACCATTTGAGATATTTTGTACTTTGATATAACTTGTTTTTCCTCCTAAATTAGGAACGCTTGAATTGAGCAGTTTTTGTGTTCTCATATTATTTGATACGAGTCATTCACAACGCCTTGTACGCTACGCCTAATGGAGTAAACTTTAGTTCGTTAGTCCTACCTTCAGAGTCAATACTAAAGTTTCGGTCTTTACAAAAATAACAAGTTCATGTCAAAAGTTCAATTAGGACAATGACGTTGTCTCTGTAGTACGGTAAACGACAAATGCAATATATCAGTTAGATAAGTGAATCGAAAACTTTCGGGCAGTACATGGTGTGAAGCACTTCCAGTGTTAGGATTTGTAGATCATTGTCGTTTTCAACTTATAAAATATTCATTCACATGAATGATTGTGTCGTCAGACTGTTAGTTGAACTCGGTATGTTGTATTTGAACAGCCGACATATATAGCGAAATCGTTCACCAGATAAATAAGAAACAGTACCTCATGTAATGAACAATTATTTTAGTCAGTCGATCAACGGAGTTCGTTTTCAAAGTTATACTGGTTGTACTGAAAATATTTGGAGATTATTGAGTCTAAAAATCGATAAAGTTAAAGAATCGTTTTAGATGAGCTTATGTAGTGTTGATGAGTCGTTAGTGTGTCCAAAGTAGCCGTTGTTGATTTTAACGTTTTGAACCGTTCAAGTCATTGTATGTGCTGTCATATTGTTCACTAGTCGGTCAGGAATTCTCTCAATGTATTCAAATCTAGTACTTTGTATTGATAATGTCCTACAACTATGAATGGCATTCAGCGACATAAAGGTGCATCGATTTTGTATATCTTTGGATGAATACGCCCCAAAAGAGCAAGTAAATTTACGAATTACAATTACATAAGTCTACAACTACCATAGCTTCTTGCTATTAAGGTTGTAACAGTAGATAAATGCCCGAAATAAAAAGTTCTGTGAGCACTCAACATTGATACTGACTCCATCAGGTTTACCCGACACATTATAGCTGAAATCACGCGATCAAGCATCATCATCAAATCACTATTGGGTACGTTGTGTTTCATACCCCACACAACAACTAGTCAGCTAAGCTCACATACTTCTCAACCCATCGACTATCTTCCAAACACATCTTCGAAATGACTAATTCCTGACTTGGCTGTTTTTGAGATGCTCTATTGCAAAGTTGTTGAGGACAATAGCGTTATCAAACCCTGAAAATCCGTGAAAACTTTATGCCCATTAGTAGGCTAATAACTTAGGTTGATAAGCAAACGAGGAACTAAATAGCCCTAACACTTGTAAAATGTGGTCAGAAGTGCTGGTTGACAGTTACCGCTAATCCAAGGCTTCACATTTTTCAGACAGATTAGTACACTTATTACCTTAGTTGCCGAAGTTACCAGTGACCCGAGAATTTACTAGAATGATGAGGGGCGACAGCAAAGAATTTAGTGAAGTTCGATAAATAACATTTAATACATTATAGTTATATGGTGAACAACCACTTTGATTCACTATTAATAATTCGTTTTAATCCATCAAAGTGCATTAAGTTGTCATAGTAAACCACGTAATCTTTCAAAACAATCAACTCGGGAAGATAGAAAACGACTGTCGATCTAGAATTATCTGTCAATAGGCTAGTTGCATCAATATTTTTAGTTAAACAGTTAGTTGGTAGTCGACTTAATCTATACGCATCTCACAGGGAAATTTACACCAACGCCTATTTCACCTAAATTGTCGTTTTTAACACTATATGAACAATGGATGAGGAAGTTGGATTTGAGAAGCTCAAACTTACAGGGGTGATAGGCTTTAATGGTTTGATTGTTTTCATTGCCATGACTATCCGCTGTTAAGGAAAAATTCAGAACGGTTTCCTGGTGCATCCTGATGGACAACATGTTGTATTTTCTCTAGGAAGCAACGTTATTATTGAAAATATAAGTACAGGAGAGCAGTTCTTTTTGCAAGGACATACAAACATCGTCGTTTGCATGGACATTGACAAGTCAGGATCATTTATAGCTTCTGGTCAGGTTACATATATGGGATACAAAGTAACTGTTTTTATTTTCAACTAGATATATTTTAAGGCAACAATTATTGTGTGGAGTTTTGAAAAAAAGGAAAAATATGCCGAATTTGTGCTTCACAAAGTGAAGGTTCAGGCCCTAAGCTTCTCACGAAATTCAAGTTATCTCGCAAGTCTTGGGGGGCAAGATGACGGCAGGTAATTCTTTTAGTATTTCTCACATTTACAGCGTCGTTATTTGGTCTGTGCCAAAAAAAGAAGCTGTTTGTGGAAGTCCGGCGCAGCCACAGAGTGCTGGAGTAACATTGGCGCTAGCTTGTGCTAATATTTCTGAAAACACATTTATTACAGCTGGAGAGTATGTCACTCTGAATTTTGTAAACGTTTTTAAGAAACACGGTGCGAGTGTGGAGCTTAGATTTGGAAAATCGTAAAATCAGGCCAGCAGATTGTAACTTGGGTCAAGTTAAGCGAACTATTCACTGTCTGTCTGTATGTGTAACGTTTTAATATTGATCACTTTATAGGTTTCCCACAATGACGAAATATTTTTTGCAGGAACTACAACTGGCGATGTTTTGACGATTAGTATGAAGCATCACCTGTTACAAGTTATTGCACCTGAAAAAAACGGATTCAGTATGGGTGTAACCACACTTAAGATATTAGGAGAATCAATGTTACTTGTTGGATCAGGAGATGGAGTTGTGCAAGAATTTTGTTACACCGTTAGAAAAGAAGGAAAACGATGCTTCCCAACATTGATCAAGACAAAGTGAGTGAATCTGCTGAGTTCACTTTTAGAAATGGGATGTCAGTCCTTATAACCAAAATTTATTGTACATTTTGACTCCAAATCTTCTACGATTCGCAATTCTAATTTATTACTTTCTGCATTAACAGACAAAATAAGGATTTGTTACAAGAATATATCCTCGAGCAAAACTATTCACATTTGGGACCGGTGTTCTAAGCCATCAAGTTGTAACCGGTTTACAATTTAGAAACAACAATAAAGCTCTCTTAAATTCAAGATAACAATATTGACCTAATCAGCTAAGAATAATTTAACCGGTTAAATTTGTGAAACAAAATACTTTTGTTCCTTCAGGTTCCAAGATTGCAAATAACTATTTCAAGCTTGCGTTCTATCTGAAGTCTGGTAAAAACTAGTTTGCTAATACAATCGATTGTCAGGTCAACATATTTAATCAGTTTTATCACTGTTTCTAGAACCTCACTTGGTGTTTTTCTCGAGATTATTAGTATTCTGAATAGGATTTGACCTCAACAACCTGATTGACTCCTGAGTTATTGCATCATGCAACGTCGTAAAGGAATCGCACTCAAAATCCAGTATCAGTTTGCAGTTTTATTTCAGTAAGAAAAGTTTCATATTTGATTGGCTTCTGTATCTATCTACTCTATGTTAATCTTTGTTCATAGTTCGTATTCTGATAACGTCCTAAACCGTTAAGAATTGCTAGTGTATGATGCATACTGTGCAACGTTTTGCCAACAGTCAATGAAAAATCGGGTTTGCCATTTCACAACATACACAACTTCAAGTTTTCTGTTTACGTGTAGTTAGGTCTGTAGTAGTGTATCTACCTAGCTTATTCTCCGGTGGAACATGTAATCTTGTTGTGACCTTTGCCTTATTAATTATCACATGATATAATTTCCAATCGGAGCACAGCTTATACAATCTTAGCACTGTACCAAACCAATGACTCGCTGGCCGGTACGAGCAGCCTAGAATCCTTAATGGTCCTTCTAATCTAGCCCTGCCCGTTCAGTCCAAAGAACATCAATATCAGCTTCAACTGTATGAATTATATATTTCAGACATGCCTGGTTGATATACAAACAAATCAGATCACATCATACCGTAAAATAGAAAATAAAAACTATACAAGATCAAACCAGAAAGTGGCTGTGATTGTGAGAGAGTATAAATAATAACTTGGGAATAACTTAAGGATAGTAAATAGTATAATAGTAGTCATTAAGTCAAACGGAAGCTTATGACAAACGCAATATGAATATATATATAATATAGTTACCTAATAATTATCCAATAAGAATATATATAATAATTGTCCATAAATAATTATTAAAAGTTCCATTCAATTATTCTGTATTGGGATATAACAAATCATATACAAGCGAGTCGAATATAAGGGTAAAATGGTCTTACTTGTTTAACTAAAACTTAAGAGATTTCAATTCAGTGACCGATCAAATTATTATTTAGTAATCGTATACTTTATTTTATTGCATTGATTTAACGACTTCCCATGTCATGGTTTTCCATAAACTGATATTAGACTGGAAAGCTTGAATTCTGAATATAAATAGGAAGACCAAACAAGCATATTATAAATACATGCACATGAAATTAACTAACTCTTGTTATGCCCAGATAAGAATAATGAGTGGTAATTTTTGGGACCGCTCGTTTCTGGCTGTTTGCAGAATATACTTTTCCATTCCAAGCTTGAACTTAACCATCTAGTTAGCAGGACTGCGATGCATCAAATAGCTAGCTTACTGGTCTTTGGTCACTGAGCCTTTTTTCTCGTTCTCAGATTAAGTGAACTCGTGATAGCTTCAAACCTAGCAATTGTTGTGGTCACAAAACGCTTGTTAGGTATAAAACAATAATTTCAAATAGCAGTAAAGTAATCAGTTGCTATCAAAGGTCGGAAGTCAAAGTGAAATTGCAACAGAGAGATATTGGAAAGCACTTGTCTTTATTTTAAGATAAGTAAATAGTTCAACAATAATAATAGTCAGTCAATATAAATATCCTACAAGACCGCTCAAGCTGTAACATATATAAATCTGCACGTGTTACCAATAAGAGAACTTTATATCACTAAGGCAATAATAAACCAGTGTTAATTTCTTGAAAGTTTATTTCACGTACAAGAATCAAACCATACTATTTTAGCCGTTAATCGTAATTCAGCTTAATTCGAACTAACTGACTAAAACTCCTTGATGTTCATAATTTTAAGTACATTTTGATATCATATTAATTAGTAGTTAATGGAAATAAAAAAAATAATAGCTTTTTTCGCTCCCTTAAAGGATTCTATAATTAGGAATCATCAATAAAGTTTCTGATTATGTTGTCTTTAACCCTTAGAATGATATACAGTTGTTTTTTTTTAAAGGTTGAAAGCTTACCTGAACGTTTTGAAAACAATTAGTCTTTATTCTGCTATATTTCCAAGAAGAACAGATTTCTGTACTGTATTGCAACTCGTGTGATATTCGTCATGTCATAACATTTTCACTTAAGATTATCAGTGTGAACTTTGAACAAACATGTTAGTGTTTTAGATGTTCGGTTACAAAATCTGTATATTTTATTATAGTAAAATGAAAGAGCTTCTGGGAAAAGTCACAGCTATTAGTCTTCGTGGAGAAGGACACCAGTTCTTTGTTACAACTGATAAATGTCATCTTTACCGGTTTAATTATTCAGATTTCAGCCATGAACTTGTTAAAACATGCCATAATGCTGCGGTCAACGACATTAAATTCCCATAGTAAGTGAAAACATTATATTGATATTTTTAATAACAACAATATTGTAAAGTTAGAATTTTGTGTTGATTGTTATTGAAAGGCACAAATTTACATAGAAATATTCGAAATTAGCGGTCATAACAAAGAACTGCTACTTATTGTTACACTAAAGGATACAATTTAAACGGAATACGGCAGATAGATTCAGTAAATGGGCATAAACTATTTCAATGTTATGTTTTAAACCACCCTATGGTAAGTTCAGTCAGTCATCTACAACGTAGGAGCAGACACATATATTAATCGATCCAAGTTGCCATAACTCTTTAGCACAACAAAAGCACCAAATTCATAGAAGCAGTTACTTCAGTGGCAGTGATATGAATAAAGGTTGTATATATGGACCCCAACCAAGTAGTCTGCATCTACCAACATGGCTAAGACAAGAAGTTAGTGACTTCAAGCACTGATGTTACGTTTTGGTTTGGCCGCCTCTAACTTCCAACCATTCCCAACACTAGTCCGCATTGCGCATCGTGGTAGTCGGTGTTCAGGCACACGTAACACGTGTGAAAATTCATATTTTATGATGTAATCAAATAAAAGTGACCAAAAAGTGACTTAGTTTTAGAATAATTTGATCAACGACCACTATAAAAACTGTGAATAAGCTCATCCTACTTATTAACCCGTATAATCACCTCGGCTAGTCATGAATAGCTTGAGACTAGGAATAGATTGTGGATCAAGCGAAGTTGCCAAATCTCATTAGTACATAAAAATCAATATGATCGACCGTGAAGTAGAAATATAACGGGAACAGTAGAAAAAATCAATATTATTTAAACAGAGTGATTGAATATAAGAATCCGTGACATGGAAATTATGAATAAACTCAA